TAAGGTCCGTCTTTAAACACTGAAAGAGTACTGGTGACCATACCAACTAACTTTACCTCTGAATAAACCAACAAAGAGCACTGATCACACACTGACCACGTCTGTAGAGACGAAACAATCAACACCAACTGGAGCCGCGTCTGTATTAAGAGGAGACGAGCAGCAAATCCAGATTTCACCATTTCCAGATGAGTAAAGCTCTCGGGTGAACAATGTTCCTTAGACACGTATTGTTGTTGAGCGTCGCATGCACTGATCCACACGTGAGACCAGCTGCGCTCTCATAGCGGGAAAACGAAAACAAAACCTTCACTGCAGCACATTATAAACGCAACACTGACGACCCGTATCTCCACACAATTCTTGTTCTCCTGCTTGTTTTGGCAACACACCGTGTCGTCTCTCTGCCGTCTGAACACTGTAACAGGTACAGTCTTGGAAGCGATCATGCATATTAATGAGGCTGCACCGCATACACAATAGAGCATGCTGATTGGTTTAAACCAAGCCTTACTCATGCATTAATGCAGCACACTCAGAGACGTAATACGGCACTCCCAGATACGGTCGTCCAGTCTACATGCTGGAAAACACGCTAAGATCTCATGGCCGTGACGCAGCTTCAAAAATTAATTTTAGACCAGAAGTATGAATTTGCTAGGAAATAACGCAAAAACAACCAAATTTTTACTTTTTAGTGAGATATATGTGTCCTAATCTTGTTTATAGCAGTGTGTGACACAGATGGTGACAACACATGTGCTCTGGTGTTTCGTGATCCTTTAAACTTGTAGAAACTAATCAGTGAACTTATTTCCTTCAGGTTGTCGCAACACAATCTCTGGAAATCTGTGTGCTCAGATTTTTGTGTGGGGCCTATCATGACATTATGCTAATTTGTGTCCTCATAAAGCACCAAAACCACCCCACACACACACACACACACACACTCCTCGTTTATATGCGTTTCATGTTCTCCTAAATAGTTTCATCTCTTCTTCTTAGCTGATTCTTGGGTTTGGTTGTGGTCTCGTTCACATTAGCTGGGTTTCCATCATGCTAATGCGCATTTTTTAAGTAGCGCACCAAAAACGCAAATCTGGAATTAAAATCTTGATGGTTTTGGACTTATTAAAGGTTAACGTGAGTAAGTGGAGATGGAAACACATTTGCTAAGTGATCCCTAACGTTACGCCCGCGTGTCTCCATTATGCTTGCCTTGTTTACTGTTGGTTGCTAGGTTACCAATACCACAGTGAGCTGCTCTATTGGGTAAAGTCTAGAAGGGATACATCTGTTGTCGGAAGTTAAGGATAATAATGTGTTTTATTACAACAATACAGTTACCGTACATCAATAATTTCTGTGTTTTACGTTACTGTGAGGGTTGGGTTAGTGGTAGGTGTTAATAAAATACCATTTAAAGTGTAATTTATTAAGTAATATGACTAGTATTCAGTGTAATTACTGTTTTTACAGTATTGTTTGGGTTTGGTTTAGGATTTGGGTTGGGGTAGAAATTAATAAAATACAATTTATTGTGTAATTTAATAAATAAAAATCAATATATTACTGTTTTTACATTACTGTGATAGTTGGAGTGGGGGGAGACGTTAATAAAATACAATTTAATTGGCAATTTAATAAATAATTCTCATTAGTTTCCGGCCACAGCTGTATCCCTTAAGCGCTCTAATGCAATATAAAGTCAATATAAGTGCACAAATAGAGGCTAATTAATGATGTGCGGTGCAAATGACACGAAATGCATGATGTGATTGCATTAATTCAGTAAAATTCATCATGCATTTGTGCTGTCTGGCGTAATTAGCCTCTGTTTGTGTGTTTGCATTGACTTTAAATGTAATTAACTCTCAAGAATACTTAATTCCACGTTTGTTGTGAACAATCTTGATAGAAACGGCTCATTTGCATTTGGGGTTTTCATTTTTTTTTGCAAACTTCTGTGAAGATTGTCTTCACGTGAGCATTGAAACCCGGCTAATGATTCTCTGCTGTCTTTCCCCTCCTGTATGTGATCACTATAGGGTCATTATGATAACTGATCCACTATAGACTCATTATGACATGAGGATTCACTCTGGATCTGGTTTTCTGACTTGTGTTCACACTGAAAACGTTTCATTTACTCGAAAAGCTCATGTAAAGTGCTAGTTTAATGGTCTTAAAGGGACAGTTCACCCAAAAATGACCATTTCTTCATCATTGCCTCCCACTCAAGTGCTGGTCAAAATCAAGATATTCTGAAGAATGCTGGCAAACGTCATCGACATCCATAGTAGAAACCAAAACAAAAAACATACTATAGGAGTCAGTGGATGGATGGTTAATATCTTCATTAGTGCACAACAGAATAGACTCAAACAGGTTTGGAGGAAGAGGAGGATGAAGAAATGATGACAGAAGATTCATTATTGTGTGAACTGTCTCTTTAAAAGTGCACATCTGGCCCTTTAAATATTCAAACGCTGCAGAATGAACTCTGATTGGCTCTCAGTGTTTGAATAATTCATGAGCTGGGGAAAAGCTGTTTTAACTGCTGTTAATTCACTTTATTGTCTTTATTCAACATTTCTGGTAATATGGATGATCTGAACATCACCCGAGAAAAGAAGAGCAATCATTGGATTAATTAATCTTCTGAATATTCATGAGGTCTCACAGTTGTTTGGCCAATCGCTGGTGTTTCTCCTGTATGTGATGTGCAGCTGATGTCAGCGCTGTGGAGATTCAGGGTTCAGTTCTTCTCCATCCGCTCCTCGCTGTGTGGATTTAGCAGTCGTTTGTGTCGGTTTACTCCTGTTAGTTTGCTTTTGTATTTTTCTAAATCTCTATTTTGTGTGTGAACTGCCGAGTGTACCGAATGTGATTTTAATACACTGAAAATACGACTATTTTAACACTTGTGGAGGTTTTTTATTACATTTAATACTTTTTTCAAAATGTCCGGGATTGTTCAGATGCAAAGAAGTGTTGTTTACAGAATATATGATTATTGATTATATTATAATTAATTACATAACTCTGTTGCTGTATTTATCACTTTTTTATTAAATGTTTGCAATATTCTAAGACGTTTCACATGTGAGATGTCACTTTAAAATGGTTTTATTAAGCTGTAAAGTAAAGTCATGACCTTCCTGTGAGTTTAATTGTTCTTTTAATTCCCCAGTCATGTTTTTATGTGGATGATTTATCATTCTGAACTGTGTGTGTGTGTGTGTGTGTGTGTGTGTGTGTGTGTGTGTGTACATTAGGATTTCCAGAAGTTCTTACACACTTCATTCATTCATTTTCCCTCCGCTTACTCTCTTTATTCATCAGGGGTCGCCACAGTGGAATGAACCACCAACTATTCCAGCATATGTTTTACGCAGTGGGTGCCCTTCCAGCTGCAACTGAGTACTGGGATATACAGTCACCGGCCACTTTATTAGGTACACCTCATTAGTGCTGGGTTGGACTCCCTTTTGCCTTCAGAACTGCTTTAATCCTTCATGTCAGAGATTCAACAAGCTACTGGAAATATTCCTCAGAGATTTTGCTCCATATTGTCATGATAGCATCACACAGTTACTGCAGATTTGTCGGCTGCACATCCATGATGCCAATCTCCCGTTCCACCACATCCCAAAGCTGCTCTATTGGATTGAGCTCTGGTGACTGTGGAGGCCATTTGAGTACAGTGAACTCATCGTCATGTTCAGCAGTCTGAGATGATTGAGCTTTATGACATGCTGCGTTATCCTGCTGGAAGTAGCCATCAGAAGATGGAGACACTGTGCTCATAAAGGGATGGACATGGTCAGCAGCAATACTCAGGTAGGCTGTGGCGTTGATGCTCAATTGGTACTAATGGACCCAAAGAAAATCTCCCCCACACCATTACACCACCACCACCAGCCTGAACCGCTGATACAAGGCAGGATGATCCATGCTTTCATGTTGTTGAGGCCAAATTCTGCTCAGTTTGAACTGCAGCAGATCCTCTTGATCATGTCTACATGCCTAAATGCAGTGAGCTGCTGCCATGTGTTTGGCTGATTAGACGTTTGCGTTAACGGGCATTTGCACAGGTGTACCTAATAAAGTGGCCGGTGAGTGTATATATGCATGCATATAGAAAATAGAGGACCAGACTGAAATTAAAGTCGTTTTTAGCAATAATGAAATGCAAATATTAATCATAAACACAGGCAGACATGTGGAATATAAACTCCTGCACTGATATCTCCACACATGAGCGTGTGTTGTGGTAATATATGTGTATTCTTTAGTTTGTGTGTGGATGTGTGCTGTTCTGCTGAGCGGCCTGCGGGCGGCGCTGCGGCTCGCTGTTGACGTCATATCCGCTCTGGGCGGCAGCAGCAACAGCAGCAGCTTCATTCTCAGAAACTGACAACAAGCGAAGCGAGAAAAACAGAGCGAAATCTGCATCCATCCTGTCGAGTTTCTCCATCCGGTGGAAATATATCGATACTTGCAAACAGAGGTGACGGTCGAGCGTTAAATCGGTGAGTCTGAGCTCGAAGCGGGCGACGGAGTCGCTGTTTCGGCCCGATTTGTCGCAGGATGTCTCGGTGTTTGTGTCGCTTTGTTCTGAGCGGCAGCCATTTTTAATCGGCTCGCTCATCAACAAGTGCTGATGAAGCGCTAATTAGGGGCTCAGGTTACTAATTAGAGCTGCTAAAGGAGTTTTTCTCCGGTGTTTTTCGGTGCTCGGGCCGCTGGGAGTCTACCGGCTGCTCTGCTGGAGGTCTCTCCCCGCGGTGGAGGCTCTATCCTGGGCTAACGGCTGCAGCAGCTCCGCTAACCCTCAGAGCGAAATATCGGCCAAATATGTGTGGTGTTGTGTGCAATACTGTGATAAACCGTGTGTCTGCAGACTGTAGTGTGTGTGTATTCGTGTGTAAATGTGTGTGTTTAACTTAAACGAGCTGTTTATTCAGTAATGGTGCTGGAGAGCTGGTGTTTACATCCTCATGCTAACGTTAACCGTGCTGGATTATAAATGAGCTCGATACACACTCTTTCTGTCTGTCCTTGTATGATGTGTGTGTGTGTATAATCTATAATAATATACATCAGCTCTGTCGTGTAAAGCAGATCCTGCAGTGAGATTCACAGTTCTAGCTTGATTTAACGTTAGCATGATGCTTATGACGTGAATAAATCACGATAGTGTCATAATAATCGCCATTATAACCTTTCCCGGTGATATTCTGGCGGATTTCCTCTGATATTGTGTGTATTTGTGTTGAGAGCAGAGCTGCTATTCACTGTCTCTCATAATGATGATGATGAGGAGGAGGATGATGGTGGTCAGTGTGGGTATACAGAGGTGTGTTATTGTTCACACACACTTACATGTTCCCTTTAAATGATTAGACGAGCTTCAGAATAAATGTGTGCTCGTCATTCAAGGTTAATTTCTTTCGTTCTTCAGTTTTTGAGGAAAACATGCAGGATTTTTGTCTTTGCAGTGGACTTCAGTGGTTTGAGGCTCTAAATTACAGTTCCATTGCAATGAACCATTGAGGGATCATTTGAAGTTGGTTTTAGATTGTCATTCGGACTTTCTCCTTTAATAATATACCATCAGAAAATATTCTTTGCAGATTCCTAATAGTGAAATCATATTATCAGCTGATGACCATCACAATACAACACTGATTACAGACATTTAAATAGTGCTGATGTTGTGTTGAACTCGTACTACATGGATTTCTGACCGAATACTCACAGTCGAGTGTTAAACAGTATAGGGAGCTGTCACAACTTCTCACTGAACCAATGACTGAATATTAAACTAACGTAACCTCAATAAATAAACCAAAGAACATTGAGATCTAGAGGAAGAATATATATATATATATATATATATATATATATATATATATATATATAATCTTGTGATTAAGTAATGTGTACTATTTATTTTTTAAGAAAATGATTGTTTCTTTAAGTAAGAATATAATTAGTAAACATCAATGAATTCATGGAGTTAATCTTTAATAAAACACAGCAGAATTTCATTAGTTATTAACTTTTGATTTTAGTGCATTATTGGGTATTAATTATTTACAGTAAGTTTGCTGTTTTTGTGCTCAGTTTGTCTCATATAATGGCTGGAGGCCGCTGTAAAATAGTGTTTAAAGTCTTCATCATCATGGAGTAAACAATGAATTCTCTGCCTGGGCTTTTTTTAAGGATATTCATGTAGTCAGCAGCTTTACTGAAGTTAGTTTCTCATTTCTTCTGTCCGGTTTAGTTCTAATTGCAGGTGCAAAAATGCTTTTAACGTCTAAAAATGAATGGAAGTGAATGAGAACGGAAGTCTCGAGCCAAAAAGATTTAAATGGCAGCGCCCGCTCGTTGGCAAAGAATAGGGTGAATACCGCGGTTTGGAAAACTCAAGGTTTTAAAACCACCAAAATATTCTGCTACACCATTCCTATATGTGTGACATTTTTTATTTATGTTTTCTTTTTATTAAAGGACGATAGTATCGGAAAAGATATCCTAAAATGCAGTTTTAAATTGTAAAGAAACCTGTGTATTTGCAATTATTGAAGACCGCAGAAGTCAAAAATTGATTTGAATTATTCAGCCTGACATGTTTACTGCTCTAATATAAATAAATAAAATAAATTGTGTTATAAAAACACAATATAAATAAAAAAACTAGTTTTTACCCAGACACTTAAAAAGAATATATTTTAGAGCAGTAATCACAATACCGGGAAACAGTGATATTTTTATCCGAGGTTATCATACTGTTAGAATCTTATACCAGCTCATGCCTATACTTTATATTGTTTCAGTATCGATATTGTAATATCCGCATTAGTCTCATCATTAGCCTGTGCTTTATCAGTTGCGTGTGTTTGTAAGGCCTGTGACTGAGCATTTCAAGAGCGTTTAGAACATTTGGACACAAAATATTATGATGTTTGTAGGTGTAACAAATATTTCATTGCATTTAAATTATTTATGAGCAATTCCAGCGTTATGGACGTGACATTTGCAGTAAAAACTCAAAACATACATTTGCACAGAAAGTGTCCGTAAACATTATATTAAACTTTGGTTCATATTTTCCAGAACAAAAGAGTTAAGGGGACAGAAAAATATAAATCTGGGAACATGTTATGTACTTTAAATGAGGAAAACAAGCGTTATGGATGCAACAAAGTCTACAGGTTTGCACAATACAACATACTTTGTAGAAATTCTGTGAATTAATCTGCACAACCCAAAAGAAACGATGCTAATCTAAAGGATGTAAGGTGGCTCTCTATGAAACTAAAATGTTTGCTTTTATTTTATTCAATATTTCCACATTTATGAGGAAAAGTGTGGTTATGGATGTGACATCTCTCCGTTATGGATGTGACGGATGTGAAATTGCCACTTGTGTGACTTTGGTAAATCTAATAGAATAGTTTAAAAACACTGACAGATGCATTTTTGAGTGTCTAAAGTACTGTAAAATACAAGAAACTGTTTCCGTATTTTGGTGAAAACTTAATTTTCTCATGGAAAGGTTGACATTTGCATGGAATTGCTCTTATACAAAATAGATAGGATTTATCTTGTTTCTAGTCCAAATTTCTACACTTTACAGCCAAAATGCGATTATTTTACTCACCGCATTGGCAGATAATCTTGCTTGTTTTAATGGATTGCTATTTCTCCTGTAGGTCAAAACAAAGCAATATTTGACTTGATCTAAGATCTTCAACATATCTGCACCAGAAAATTACATTTCTGTCCCTGAATACTGTTAGACTCCTCAGAAAAGTGTCAAATAGAGCTGTTCAAGCATGTGCTGAAACTGTATTCATATTGCAATATTTTATTGTTCTTGGGTAAATATTGCAATATCTCATTCTTTCAATATCGTTCAGCTCTAGTGTGTGTTTGTGTGTGGATGTGTTCAGGAAAGGTAGGTTTGTCTCCTCACGTTATTATACTTTTCTCCGCAGAATCTGACGGTACTGAGGAAGAGGTGCAAAGAAAAATTTCCATACTCGATGACATTACATCGCAATGTCCGATCGTTTGGGGCAAATTACCAAGTCCAAGGATGGGAAAAGCAAGTATTCATCACTCAGCCTATTTGACAAGTACAAGGGGAAGTCAATAGAAACTCAGAAAACCACAGGTGAGCCTCGACACTTTGACATCCCACACACACGACACATACTGTGTCCTATTACACGTGTAGTGTCTATTTTTGTGTAGAAAGTGCACACATACGAGTGTGTAACAGAAGAGTGTGCAAGCTTGGGGAAAAGCTACCCTCTCATCAAAGGGATTATTCTGTTGCTTAGTTACAAGCCCTGTCAATCATCTCGTCACACCATCAACAAATCTGTCATCTTTAATTTCTGGCCATATTGGAGATGTTAACCTGCCGTTCACGAGTGTTGCGTGCAGACAGTTCTCCTCAGGTGTTGGCAGAATTATACGTTCAGGAGCTGATCACCAAGCACACATCTTTAATAATTCATATTTATTTAAACAGAAAATATTTGTAATGTTTTTCATGTTGTGTTGTCCTGCAACAGCAAGAGCTTCTACAATCATTCAGGCATCTTACTGAATAAGAATATAAAACATAAACTAAAAAAAACAATACACTTTAAAAGAGAGTAATATTAGATAGATGGTAGTAATAAATGATTATATGCATAAATAAACAAACATATTACAGCAGATTGTCATTTCGATCTCCATCAATCATTCAAACATCTTTTTTTAACTAATTTATTTATTTTACACATTGTCAAGCTAATTTCTGCAGATCTGCACATTTGAGTTCACTGCTGAATGTTCTTGGTATTACTGTGTGAAAGTGGCTGATGTGTTATTTGCATTGTTTAAGATAATCCGCACATTCTTCAAATGATGCATATTGCATATAATTTTGGGATTTGCAGTTGCATTTGGATTGTGTCACAACTTGTGCATTCATGTTGACAATACAGTTTGCAATTGCGTTTGGAAAATCCTTTCATACATTTGATTCTTGAAGCATGGAGCACAGCTCAAACGTGCTGCCAAGTATTAATACTGTAAATATAGTTTAGGTTATTAATCCTCTTGGGGCAATTCATTCTGACATGGTGGTGCTTCACATATTACAAGAATGACACGCTTAACACAATAAACACCAACACTTAACATCAAGTACACAAACAAAAAACTGAGGGGAAAAAATTCAATAATAAATAATAATTACTAAAAATAATAAATAATAATCCACCGATTGCTTGCATTTATTACGTAACCGAATTGCTTCAGGCACACTGTAAATTTATAACGATTTGTGGAACCTCTTATTGTCCTTAAACATCACCCAGGGGGCGTCCACTCAAAATGATTGTGTGAGTGTTGTGTATTAGGGCTGCACAATATATAGTTTCAGCAACCATATCCCAATATGTGCATCTGCAGTAATCACATCACAGGATCTGCCATGTTAGATTGAGATTATGTAGTTTAGGATTGTATATATTATATTGAGGATATATAGCCACGGTTCCACATACATGAGATTTGTGGAGTTACTGCTGAGTTTAATCATGACGGAGTGATAGTTTATTATTTGCAGGCTTTTTTTTTTTTAAGCCAAAAGAGAGTTTAAAGCATCCAAGCGCAAGCAATTTTCCCATTTGTATCTTAATTAGACAATAATTCTGAATTATTGAAATGGTGAAGTCTTTGCTGTATTTTGTATTTGATAATTATTTTTTTATTTCTGTATCTGAATGTGATTTGATTGCCCTGAAACTGTGAAGCACTGTTTATTTCACTTTTATATTTGCTCTGTTTATCTGTGCTTGCAATTTATTACATTTGATGCATGATTCGCTCCTCCACTGAATCGCCAAAATCAATATAGATTAATAGATTATTTGCAAATCAAGCTATTTAAATCATCTGGTGATTGTTTATATATAAAGTTGATATTTTTTCTCACATTTCTAATCATAATAGTGTTCATAACTCATCTCTAATAACTGATTTCTCTTATCTTCATCATGATGAAGGCACATAATATTAGACTAGATATTCTTCAAGACACTAGTGTTCAGCTTAAAGTGACATGTAAAGGCTTCACTAGGGTAATTAGGGTAAAGTTAGGGTAATTAGGCAAGTCATTGTATAACAGTGGTTTGTTCTGGAGACAATCCAACACTAATATTGCTGAAGGGGGTGAATAATATTGAGCTTAAAATGGGTTTAAAACAATTAAGAACTGCTTTTATTCTAGCCTAAATAAAACAAATAAGACTTTCTCCAGAAGAACAAACATTAGAGGAAATACTGTGAACAACTCCTTACCAATTTTCAATTCTGTATTGCAAAATGTATTGTAGAACTGCTAATTATGTCAATGTGAGATTTGTCTAATGTCATGCAGGCCTAGTGTGTATGATGTTTCCCCCTCTCGTCCTGCAGTTGTTGCACGTCATGGCTTACAGAGTCTTGGTAAAGTGGCCGCAGCCCGGCGAATGCCTCCTCCCGCTCACCTGCCGAGTCTGAAGTCTGAGAGTAAAGGAAACGATCCCAACGTGATTATCGTGCCCAAAGACGGTACAGGATGGGCAAACAAGCAGGATCAACCCGATCCAAAGAGGTCAGACACTTCTCATTCATATCCAGCGCACAGTGTAGTGTTATCATGAGCACGGATCTTCTGTCAAGAATAGAATGAACCGCCAACTATTTCAGCATATGTTTTACACAGTGGATGCCCTTCCAGCTGCAACCCAGTACTGGGAAACACCCATACACACATTCACACTCATACGCTACGGCCAGTGTAGTTGATCAGTTCCCCTATAGCGCATGTGTTTGGACTGTAACCGGAGCACCCGGAGGAAATCCACACCAACACGGGGAGAACATGCAAACTCCACACAGAAACACACACTGACCCAGCCGAGACTCAAACCAGAGACCTTCTTGCTATGAGGCCACAGTGCTGACCACTGAGCCACTGTGACGCCTTGTTGATTTGTAATATGTAATTCAATCCAGAGTTCAGCAAGCAGATTTGGAGATTTCAGGAGTTGCCCGTTCATTTATAAAGGATTTTGGGTGGGCATGTGCTCCCCGAGGGCGTTACAAATATGGCCGCCGAGTGAACAGACTTTTTTGAAAGGGACTTTGATTAAATCCCTCCTCCTTCTTCAGCTCAATTTCATGTAGAATCATGTGACGTGATCAGTTTTTCTTGTCATGCGATGATTAAACAGTAAGAGTTGAGGATGAACATGCATGTGCATCAGTGTACTGCATCTGTGCAGCTCTTAAAGGGACAGTGCGCTATATTCCTGCTGTCAGCTGAGCTTATTATTAATAAACGAATAATAAAAGACAAACTCACTCTCTGCTCTCGACAGAAAGGTCATCTTTAATACATACAGTGACCATATTTATATACTTCGTAATATGTGTATATTTGAATACTGTTGTGTTGTTTGTTAGTGCCGTTCTGCTTTGCTATTGAGAATTGTGAAGTGTCATGATCTTTAAGACGTACAGGTGTAATGGCAGCCTTATTTACAGAGAGAAACTAAGATATAAACTGCACTGCAGCTCTAAGTGTGAACTGAAGGACAGATTGAGGTGTGTGTGTGTGTGTGTGTGTGTGTGTGTGTGTGTGTGTGTTTACAGCAGGTGCATCTGTAGGTCACACTGATTGTGTCGTGCAGATCTGCATATATTAAAGGCTTGTGTGCAAAAGGAGAGATGCTCATGTGACGGTGTCGGTCCTGTGTGTTTGGAGATTATGAGGATGTTATTACAGCTGCAGTTATCATACAGATAAAGTGGATCTGTTTCAATGTCACAGCAAATATTCAGTCTTAAATGCTATGATTTAAAGGGGCAGCGCACCCAAAATATTCATAATATTATACTCGGGTGACATTTTCCAGCAGTGTGTGCTTTAGCTGCAGATGCTAACCTCAAAGCAGACTCTGCATGGCGTATCTAATACAATATTATGCTCTTCATCATGTTATGGTTTTAAAAAGTGCTGAAATATTGACTGAAATCTCACAGTAACCGAGTCAACACATCATTAATCTACTAAAATACACATAGCTGGTGTCTTTAAGTTCATATTTTCCAAACAAAACTCTACCTAAATACTCATACAAACACTATTATTATTATTATTATTATTAATATTTGAGAACTTGCATTATTATTGCATTATCTATTTAAGTTTGTTTATAAAAAGAATAGGTTAATATTGGAGATGCTAAACATAGCTGCACTTTTAGAAACACTCGTACTCTTTATTTTACTTTGTTCTCTAAATACCCAGCTCTATTTCTGGATGTGAGCTGATGCATTTATTGATATGCATTGAATCTGTCATCTGATTGGCTGATCAGAGTGTGTGTGTGTGTGTTTCCTCCTGCAGTTCCGTTGCATCATCAGCACAGCTGCCGGAGCCGCAGCCGCCGCTGGCTTTACAGAAATCTGTGTCCAATCTTCAGAAGCCCATGCCAATAACCAGCCCGGAGGTACGGCGTGTGTGTTGTACATGAGTAAAGGTCATAATCACGTGTGTGAGTGTGGTGTATGAGTAAAGGTTATAATCACGAGTGTGTGTGTTTTCTGTTCCTGCAGAGCACAAGTACAGGTGGACCAAAGCAATGGGCACAGCTCAATGGAAAGGCAGTCGATCAAGATGGTAATGATTTTCAGCTCTCTCTGCGGATAATATGCAGATATTCAATGATTCAGCATGTCAAGACTGTGCATGTGTGTTATATTAATATTAGAGCATGACCAATTTTATTTCAGATACCGATATCAGACTAAATAAGTACCGATATCGATGTATATCGGCCGATATTCTTCATATGCAGAGTACAGTATCAGTCAAAAGGACACATACCTATTCATGTGTCTAAACTTGACTAGTACTATAAACAAAATACAGTATAACCATGAATATATATTGATATATGAACATTTTTGCTATGATTTTTAATATATATTTTAAAGTAATTTTTTAGCTCGGCTCAATATTGTGATGATAAAGTAAATCATGAGAAACACTTTATTTTGATGGCATTATTATTACTATTCACAGCTCTTAGTTTTACACATACACAGTACAATATGCATTGAAATGCTTATACTGTAAAAAATCATATTTAAAGCAACACCTTGGAGTATAATTTGTAATGCTAATAATATATAATAAATATAAATGCTATTTGATCTGTGGTGTTTGTGTTATCTGTTGAACTGAACATGTTGTAATGTAATTGTTTCTGTTTGGATCATCTCTTACTGAATTCTGAAGTTATTATTATGTCACGTTTTCACCATTATTTTTACATGAAATATGCATAAGTTGCTGAATGCCAATAAATAAACAAAACTCAAATGTGTGTGATTGTGTTTCAGGTTTAAAGGTCTCAAGCCGACTGCAGCCCTTCTCTCACGAGGATTTTCCGACGCTGAAGGCAGCAGGAGAACAGGACAAAGTTGGCAAGGAAAGAAGCGTCTTCGATCCGTCGTATGGGCCCGGACCAAGCCTCCGCCCGCAGAGTGAGTCCAGCTCTACACACCGACGTTACGATTAAAGACCCAAAAATGAAGATTCGGTCATTAATTACTCGTTCCACACCCTGAGAGCTTCGTTCAGTCAAAGCACAAATGCAAATTATCATGATGATAGTAAATCTTTCATACCGGGGATGCCCAAAGATTTTCATATGAAGGGCAAAAAACCAAATATCATTGAGAGCCGTGGGGTGAAGATGAATATACCAAACTATTTTACAATAAAGTTGCTGTGGGTAATTTCCCTTATTTATTTCAGAATATTTCAAAATAAATAGAAATTATTTAATTATAACTTATTGCAATAAAACATTGAACACTGAATACACTAGTCAAGCAGAGTCTGCCTTTGCCTTGATTTGCTCACTAAAGTCTCTGCACTGTCCTCTATCTGTCGGGTGACAGTATGCACATTATAAACTAAATTACAGCATTTAAATTTAAACATTTCATTTCAATTCGCTTTTTTTTGTGGCTTTACAATAAAACAAGCAGACTAAAGGTTGTCATTTTAAATTTGAAATGACACCATCTAAACCATCTCCATCACTCTCTTCTCAGATGGGATGGTGGGCCAAATCAAAGGTTACCATGAGCCTACCACGCATCACAGACATGTGATTAATTGCATTCAATTTATGCATTGGTTGTTTATCTAAATTTGACCAATCAGATCTTGTTAACTTTAACCCCGCCTTCAAAGTAGTTTCTGTTCTGCTATTGGCTGGAGCTGAACCCAGAGCTGAAAATAAACACTAATGGCGGGAAAATGACAACAGCCAATCAGAGTGCGAATATCTGTGTTTGAAAGACTGAATGTTTGCACCTTTACATGGTTGTTTACTCTGAGTTAGAATGAATTAGATCTTGTCTATCCTGTTTATTTTTATATCAAATAAATAAAATAAAAGAATGATAAATAATAAACAAATAGGTAATGAAAGTGAACATTTTCTATGGAAATGTTATATTGTAAGAAATAGCCTTATCGGAATACTCGATAACAATATCTCCTATTTTAAAGCCTCTTTTCCACTGCAAGCGACAGACCGGAAGTCATTCATTTCCAATGGAGAGCAGTCCGGGAGCTCCGATCATCTACGTATGCGTAAAATTCAGATCCAAATTGAGCTGCGGATCCGTTGAAATATATAAACTCCTGCGACTAGACCGTACGCGGCCGGCCAGCCGGATATGATGTATTAACAATATAGGAGTTTACTTGGTTATTTTCTTCATTATAAAAAGTCTATATAAAAAAACTTTTCTGTTCATAAATGTGAGAAAGAAAGTAATAAAAAATATACATTTTTTAATGTCGTCTCCACATTCCCTCCAATATTTTAGCGGTCTATGAGTTTCTAGTATTCATTCATCCATTAAACCATGTAAACGTGCAGAGAATAAAGGCTCTTGCTTTTGCCCTCCTTTATTTCGGACACCGTGAGAATCAGCTTCTCCCCTGTGGTGCACGACAACACTGAAAATACTGTGCAGCTGCCACAAGGGGGCGTATTCCGACGGTCATGTCCAAATGTCGTGTGCAGTGGAAAGGCGGCTTGAGTTAAAGCATTTGGCCATTTGAATCATTTAAATAATGAATGCATAATAAAAATGTGTGGTTTAATTTCGCAAATTATGAATTGTAAATATTTTTACATACATTAACAATGTTTTAGTAATAACAACTGCTGGCACCCGCTGCAATACCTCCACGGCCCACTGGGGTGCCTTTTTTATGTGGGGTTTTGTCCAACACTGGCTCATTCTGAAAGCGTAGCCCTGTCCACATTTCTGGAGACGGTGAATGATGTAGTCAGAGGTGTGTATGGCTGCATCTAGTCTTTAAAACAAATGCTTTGGGGTGATATATGTTCGTTTTGACGCTGCCAGTTGACCGCTTGCCTCCATATGGACAGCTTTCCCGCTTATACCAGTTTGCCCAGTAGCTCGCCATGTATGTCAGCGGATTTGAGACGCAGGGAGGAGTTGATCATGACGATGGGGTTTAAGTCTCCTGAAAAACAGTATTAGAAAGCAAGCAAGACGGATACAGAAGCCAAAACAAAAGATAAATAACAGAGTGAGAATGTGGTAAAATCTGAACACCTGGTAAAAATCAGGTGACCGTGATGAATTTTCTTGTTCTGAATTGCTTTTTAAGACTCTATCTGTTGGCTTTAGGGCAGGGGTGTGCGGGGGGATTGGATGGTTGCTTTATCTGTCAGTCAGTCAGTGGCTGCGAATCGCTCTCTCATTAGAAATTTGAGATCTGAAAAAGCGTACACAGCGCCCTCTGGAGTATTCACGAAAACAAACTGCGAAAGAACATAGCTCCTGGCGCGTATTTAACGCTCTCCAGAAATGTGTACAGGGGTACATGTCCATAAGCCTGGGTTGGCCTTCACTTGTTTCTCTGTAGCTTCAGTTTGCTGTCTTCAGTGTTTTAATGTATGTGTGTGTGTGTGTGTGTGTGTGTGTGTGTGTGTGTGTGTGTGTGTGTGTGTGTGTGTGTGTGTGTGTGTGTGTGTGTGTGTGTGTGTGTGTGTGTGTGTGTGTGTGTGTGTGTGTGTGTGTGCAGACGTGTCGAGCTGGAGGGAGGGTGGAGGGAGGAATCTGCAGCCTCCATCTCTGTCCTCTGCTCCTCCGGGCGACACCGACACCAAGAGCAGCGGCTCAGTGGAGGCTCCACTTCCTCCTCCACCCTCCACTTCCACCTCCACTTCCTCCTCCGCTTCCCCCGCCGCTTCCTCTTCCTCCACTGCCGCCGCCGCTGCTCCGTCCTCTGAAGTGAAGGAGCCATCGCTGCGTCCCGCTCCACCCCTGACCCGCAGAGCTGCTCCACCTGCTCTGCAGTACCAGCACCACACCACCACCACCTACCACGACATGCTGCCCGCCTTCGTGAGTCTAAGCTTCTTTAACTTTTATTTGTGTGTGATTAGACAAAATGAAAGCGTTCAGTCAGTGAAAATAAATGTTGGATCTGTCCATCTATAGATGCATCGAAGACAAAAATGAATCTGTTCATCTTTCTATCTCTCTGTCTATCCACCTGTCTATCCGTCTACATTAATAAATGCTGTATATATATAAGCAGACACCAACATGAGACCTGTATGTCCATCATCAGTTATTAATCAATATAAGAGGAAATCAATATTGGTCCTGTACTGGAGTGAGTGTGTGTGTGTGTGTTATTGTAAAGTGATGTTGGCCTGTGTGTCTCAGATGTGTCCTAAAGAGACGCGTGAGGCCCCGGGCTCCTCTGACGGCCCTGCCGCTGTCGTGGCTCCTGTACGATTCGACTCCAGACCGATCTTCAGACCGCCGTTTCCTGCGCCGGAGCCCGTCAAGTGAGTGTTGTGCTGGTCACTTCCAGACTCTTAAAGTGAGGGAGTTTTGTGTTCGGTTTTTGTTTTGGGGTGTCCAAACTCAGTCCTGGAGGGCCGGTGTCCTGTCCTTCAACACTTCTGTCTGGAGGTTTCTAGTTCATCTAGTGAGAGCTTGATTAGCTGGCTCAGGTGTGTTTGATTAGGATTGAAACTAAACTCTCTAGGACCGAACTTGGGCATCCCTGGTTGAAGTCATTTAATGTGTCTCAATCAAGGTTGTGTGCATTTATTTGGGTGCTAGTAAGTGTACCAAGTTTGGTTCACTGCTTATTAGGACTCTAAGTGTGACATGAGAACCTCATTATTGTACAACACCAACAGTTGAAGTTCATTTGCAGCTTTTGTTTAGTCTAAGGATTTGCTTGTTGTAGTGGGAGTCCTACATGCTGTTTGAGGAGAGCTCCATGTCCTCATCTGTAAATGTGTGTGTGTTTCAGCGGTGATGTACGAAGAGAGCCCCGTTTCCCCAGAGCCCCCCCACGACCCTCATCTCGCCCCATCCGGCGGCCTGGTGACAGGGCGCCTCGTCCTGCCATCATCAACCCCGACGACCTGAAGGACCTGGATGAGCTGGATAATGACTGTGAGGACGGCTGGGCAGGTGAGAAAATCCAACTGTTCAATTACATCCATCCATCCATCCCTTCATCCATCCATCCATCCCTTCATCCATCCCTCCCTCCCTCCATCCATCCATCCATTCATCCATCCATTCATCCATCCATCCATCCATCCATCCCTTCATCCATCCATCCCTTCATCCATCCATCCACCCATCCATCCATCCACCCATCCCTTCATCCCTCCATCCCTTCATCCATCCATCCATCCATCCCTTCATCCATCCATCCCTCCATCCATCCATCCCTTCATCCATTCATCCATCCCTCCATCCCCTCATCCATCTATCCACCCATCCCTTCATCCATCCATCCCTTCATCCATCCCTTCATCCATCCATCCACCCATCCATCCCTCCATCCATCCATTCATCCATCCCTTCATCCCATTCATCCATCCCTCCATCCCTTCATCCCATCTATCCACCCATCCCTTCATCCATCCATCCCTTCATCCATCCATCCATTGTAATTGTTGGATTAGTCGCAGTTTTGTCTTTGGAACTCCCTAATCTAGTGTGTGTGTGTGTGTGTGTGTGTGTGTGTGTGTGGGTGTGTGTGTGTGTGTGTGTGTGTGTGTGTGTGTGTGTGTGTGTGTGTGTGTGTGTGTGTGTGTGTGTGTGTGTGTGTGTGTGTGTGTGTGTGTGTGTGTGTGTGTGTGTGTGTGTGTGTGTGTGTGTGTGTGTGTGTTGTTCAGGTCTCCATGAGGAAGTGGATTACAGTGAGAAACTGAAGTTCAGTGATGATGAGGAAGATCACGCCCCGCGGGAGAAGAGCAAGATCTGGTGAGATTGGCTGTGCTTCTGTCTGTGTCCAGGAGAATTGACTATATTCATCAGGGATCAGATTGATAGATCTCTTTGTCTTTGTGTTAGTGTGGTTGTTATCTTGGTTCTGTTATTAACATGTTTGTTATGAAACTGTTGTGATGGTAAATTATCAACTGAATATTTATTTACTAATGCTGCCATGAATACAGCCAATGCTGTTGATATGGCATTAAATAAGTGTGTAAGCGAGCATGTGTGTGTGTAACTGTAACTGTGTACGTAAACATAAGTAAGAGTGTGTGTAAGTATAAGTGTTTCTGTGTGCGCTTCACAGCATGTTTTGGTGTGTGTGTGTTTCAGGGACGACTGGGATCATCATCATCACCATCACCATCTTCAGGGCCAGCATTCCTCTCAGAGTTCAGGAGACGGAGCGTTCCCCCAGGAGCCCGAAGACGAGCCGTATTTACGCCAGCAGGAGCCTCCGGCCTCCAGGAAGACCAGCACACGCTTCCCTGCAGAACCACAGGTGAGCCAAGACTGGAGTTTCAGTACACCAAGAGTTAAACTATCAGCCAAACACATTTTCATTAACTGAAGATAAATAAA